CGGGCCTTTTGAGGTCTGAAAGTTTCGACCTCAGGTCCTGCGTAATTGACCCGGAACCGGCGCCCAAGGCGGAGCCGGCTCCCAAGGTGAAGCCACCTCCTCCATCTCTGTCGGTCAGTAGGGGCCTTCCTAGGCGATCGGCTCCTGCTGTACATACTGGGTCGGCTCACACCGCCAAGCGTCCAAGAGAGACTGGCGGTGGCTCCACTGGGAGCGTGCAGATCCCAGGACATTATTTCGGCAAAGCCCGCACAAAGGAATCCCCTGTCCAACCCTCTGAACCGCCAACGGGCGGGGCAGGGGGGAGCGCACAGCCGTCCGCAATGGATGTGGATAAAGAGGGGAGTAAGGGCGATGAGAAGAAGACCAAAGCGGCCAAGGAGGCTGCCGTAGCGTCAAAGAGCGCAAAGCCGCATCCGGCGAAAGCGTCGCGTCCTGAGGCCCTAAGCGGCTTGTTCGATGTGACACTGATCAGCGATGTACGGGAGCGTGATCGGGATATTTCCGATGACGAGTATTCTCCTACGAATGTGTGCATGTTTCCAGAATATCATGGGAGGGCGCAATGCCGACCTCCGTAACTGAAAAGGCCGGAGGCTTTGAGCAGTTCAGAAACGAGCTCATGAGGATCCAGAGAATCCTGGATTCTCCGGCGTTGGTTGACCTTGGTAAGGTCGATCTGGATGCTCTGGGCGAGCCGCCCAGGGAGTACGTCTCGGATGAGGATCACGAGAGTCACGTAGATGATGATGGGATGGGCCCATATGTGGACAAGTTCTCATCAATGGGCGACCGCGACCTAGTGCCCTCAAAGCAGGAGCCGCCTTACTATGAGGCAAAGGCGTGGCGTACCACTGAAGAGGAAATTGAGAGGATGAAGAACCTTTTTCCATACTTTCGTGCCGAAAATTATCGGCTTATGTCGGCGGGGACTGGTCCCATAGGTACCAAAGCGCACGTACAGGGCGTCCTCCCTGCTGGTGCGTCGCTAGCGGAGGCACTGATGGCAAAGCCCGATGTGTGCCCGATTGCGAGCACCTACAACCTCACATACGAGGGTGAAGAGGTTGTGTTTGATGCACAGAGCGGGACAGCAGGCAGAATCGCCTGTCCTGCCGGTAACGACATCTTCCATTTCTTCCCCGAAATTAAGGATGTGTCGGCGATGATTGGACGAAGCTCCAGAGAGTCGCAAATGCTGTTAGAAATTTTGTCGGGCAACACTGACCCAACGCGGTTGAACGTGAAGCCCGGTGAGCCGGCTCCCTTCTTGTGTGGGACGGTTCCAGACATTCTGGGAGGTTGGATGTCAATGACTCTAATCTCAACGCTTTTTGAGGCCCTATACGGGATCCATAAGTGCACGAGCGTCGAGGTGGCGACCTGGGCGGGTTCTCTTGCGAAGGAGAACCCAGCGTACCCTCCAGTCGAGCTCCTAATACGGACAGTCTGGAGGGGAGATGGCACGACTGTGCGCCCGAATGAGGTACTTTTTGCGCGTTCCACCCTAATCGGGAGGGACGTGCCGTTCAAAGTTTTCAAGCGTTGGGCACTGCGTGACCGGACGCCTATGGGGCCTTTGCTTAGGCCGATGGGAGCAGCGGAGGTCCCTTATACGGGATACGTGCTGCTGACGATGGCCGAGTATCGGTCCGCCCTCAAAACGAGGTGCATCCGGAGGCCCGGCAAATTCGCCATCACAGTTTTCCCCATGCGACCTGAGCAGGTCTGCAGGGGGGAGATCACGATTGGGTTGGAGGGCGCAAAGGTGCCTCTCCTCAAGTTGCCAAGCCCCAATAGTGAGGGCGAATTTTATGTTGACGATCGCGTCAAATACATGGACAAGCGCCATGTCGTTGTGGCCGTTGACCTAAAGTGGATGGCCATCGAGGAGGCCGCCGGCATCTATAAAACCCGACGCGGTTTGATTGCCGTGCGGGAAGAGATACATGCACCCTTCTGGCGCGCATGCTATCTGCACCAGGAAGGGGATGTAATATACATCCGTCCCTGGGCGGTCCGTGAGTTGAATGTTCAGGGACCGCGGAGAGGGGTGTCATTTTCATGGGACAAAGCTCCCATGCATGACTACTGGTGCCCTCGGTGCGCGCATTTGAACATGTATGGCACCATTCTATGCAATGGTTGCCATTTGCCGATTTTCTATCGAGAGTGGGTGCCTGGCACCGTCCGCTCCCATGTTAGGAGAGGGCAGCCAGTCTGGTTAGACGGACTCAAGGCAGTCCGTGCCAGCAGCTGGTATGAAGGGGAGACCGACGTGTGGGCTCCTCTCATGGCATCGGTAAACCCGATCCGCGAGGTGGTCAGCTGTATGATCTCCGGTTTGCGCTGTGCGCCGCACCTTGTGCACAATCCCAATGCGGATATTGTGCAAGTTGCGTTTCAGGAGGTTGCAAAGGTCACCTCGAAGGACACTCACGCTTGTGTGCGTGCGAGTGATGAGGCTCTCGAGCGGTGGGTAGCGAAACAGCTGCTCATCGAGGAGAGCAATACTGGCGTCCCAATTCCCGACAATATGTCTGTCATGACATATTTGATCGAGCACCCGCAACAGGCGGCGCAATGGGGTCGTCATATGACGAGAAAGGGCAGTCTAAATTCAGCATTTGCCCTTTACCTCTCTGTGCATATTTATGATGCCTACCGCATCGGAATTGAGGACGGATATTTGGTTCCGCTGTATGGCCTAGGCGCCTCACGCGCGGACATCATTATGTCATTGGTTCAGGCTGAGCGACGCCTCGCGGACTTCAATAGTGAGGACCCAAGTTTCGATGCCTCCACTGTTCTTGATTGGAGTATCGACTCTCTGCGGGCCAGTGGTGGATCCATCACGGCCCCGATTGAGTATGCTGAGGCATACATTTATGTCGAAGACAACAAGGTTGACATGGTCCCCGCTGCACAGCGGGACGGCCAATGCGCCATTGTTTTTGCTGACCCGCCAACTGGGAAGCACCATAGGCGGGCAGCCACTCCTAGGGGAGATCATCGGTCTGCTACCCCGCGACCTGAATCCAGGTCAAAGGGGGATCAGCAAAAGGGCAAAGCCCCTGCGCAGTCCTGGCCCAAGGGTGGAGGTCACAAGGGTGACCAGTTTCCAGGAAAGGGTCACAAGGGTGATCAGTACAAAGGCAAGGGTGGCCAATACGGCTACCAACAAGGGCAGTTCGGTCGTGGCGGATCCGCCAGATCGAGAACTCCCACTGGCGGGTATCAGCCTGATGCTCGCGGGTCGGGATACAAGGGTGCACAGGCTGCCCCTTACCCGTTCCCGAGTCCGATGTATCCCACTTTCCCAATGGGAGGATACATGCAACAGCCTATGGCTGGCATGATGCCACAAATGTGGCCTGGCGCAATGCCGCAGGGTTGGCAGCCGCATATGCAGGGTGATCCCCGCGAGTTCGAGAATCCGAACTCGCCGCATACCCCTACATGGGGTGACGGTGACGAGTTGGCCAAGACTGTGCCTCCTCCCCCTGGGGACTGGAATGTCAACAAGGGGAAGGGGCGGCACGGCGGTGGACGACATCGGTGATACCTGAAGTCTGTCCATGCGTCTTGCATGGCTGCGCCAAAGCGCGCATGCTTTCATTCCGGAATTCACAAAAAGGGACTATGCTCCCTGTAGTATTTCTTTGTCTGGGCTATTCGCCGTTTCAGAATTCAGCTGCATGCGTAGCTGTGCGCTATTCGCGCAAGCTGCGATTACCTGTCAGGTGTGCATCGCCGCAGCAAGGCAGTCACTCTCGGCGGCGTCTATGGCCGCTGGTGATCTGCATCCACCTGCACCGCTGCTGCTGATGGTGATGGTGCTCATCAAGGTGCCGAGGTGAAGATCACGGGTGCCCTGCACCGCTGCCGGTGATGTCCTACTCGGACCTGAACCGCGGATCGCTGCTGGTGGTATCCATGGCGATTGTCCTCGAGTGATCGCGCGCCTAGACGGTGCTAATTTTATAGCCAAAGCTCATTGGTCTATGCACCATGTTTCAACCAACTGGCCAATGCGCCTAATCTAGTAATTAAAAAAAATTAAATCCACTTGAATCAAATGGTTCAATGTGGTTGCAATGCGAATGACAATTCTTTGGCTTCATGCCGGCCATTCCGAAGTTGATCCTTTGTTCTTTTCTGTTGTTGCTTTCTCTTGTTTGATTTGGCTACCGGCGAGAATCCGCCCCATACCCGTAATTCGGGGTGGTGGCGGGATCCGGGCTTCAATGCGAGCCCGGGTATGGGGTCGCGAACCCTGGTAGCCTAATCGGCTTTGTTTGTCTTGTTTGTTGCATTTCAACTTCAATATGGCCAATGCGCCCTTCCAAATTCACTTCCTCTCTTTGTACAGGCGAGGGGGGTGTGTTTGGGGGCATGTACTTTTGTCATAACAGTTTGTAGTACGCCATTACCCAACGCGGTTTTTGGCTCAAGCTTTTTACTCCGTCGATTCGACCTGCCATAACCGTCAAAATCGCTGGCAGCGGCGCCGTGCCGGTGCGTGGGTGTTCGAATCCCACGCCCCGGATTACGGCGGCTGGGTGGCTTTGGGTGTGGGTCAGGTTTGGGTTGGGAGTCGCATTGTTGCTGCTGCTCCGCTTTTGCTTGATTAATTGCTTTGCTCGCTCGCTTGCTGCGCTCGCTTGGTTGGCTGCGCTGGTCCCCTTTCCTGTTTGGGTTTTGCGGTTAAACAGGATCCCCCGTTTGTTATCTGTGTGGTTCTTTGCCAGCCGAGGGCACCACTTTGCCCTTGGGACTGGGGGGCTTAAACTGTCTCTTCTTGTTGGTGGGTTAGGGCCTGTTTATTCTCTCCCGAAATACTGTTTCAAACCCTTTCGCAGTTTCTATCCTACACATGCAGCAATCAAAACTATTTCGGTGTATGTTTGCTTCCTGGTATGGAACAAGAACATCACCTATGCTCGGAGGGTGCTCATTTGGAGACGAGCCTGTTTCGCATCTCCGGGCATCCCTTTCAGGTGCAGCAGCTGCGGAGGTTCATCGCAGGGGTGGAGCTCCTCGCTGAGCAATCGGATCTGCCTTGTAAAGCCCCGGTGGGCTTTTCTTGGGAGGATTTGCAGTGTCTTTGATTCTTTCCAGGGAAGCCCCTGTCAAACAACACTTCTGGACAGATTCTCGGAGTCTTGCCTCAGTTTTGGCTCCTCGGAAGGCTCCGTGTTTTTTTTTTGACAAGGCGAAAGACGGGGGGGGGCCTTCCCGATTGGACCACTGGCAAGCAGAAACCACAAAATGACGCGCCAAGATTTAAAGAGAGTTGCTTGAAGTCTTAATGTTGGCCCGTAAATGGGCGCTATGAACCCGAGAGAACCCGAGATAACCCGAGTGTTTGTCCGACCTTTGGCACCTGAACAAGTCAATTTGGTCAGAGGGGTAAGTTTGGTCAAGCACTGCAGCTTGGCGTGGGTCCCGGCAAGACCCTTATGGCCTGATTGTATATTGGAGGTCCGTGGCAAACGGCTTCAACGGCTTTTGCCGAGGGACGCGTGTCAGTTGGTGACATCCTCAGATCAGAGGCGCGACGGCCCAAGCCAGGAACAACAAGCGGGCGACGGAGGAACTCTGCAGCCTACAGGCGGCCAAAGCCTATGGGAAGCGAAAAGGGGGAGAAGTGTCCAAAGGAGTGCGGGGAAGCCCAGGGCTTGTGGAGGTTTGCGGGGGGTTGTGGGCGATCAAGCGTTTACGCCACCTCCATATTTATTGCTATGGGCAAGCTGCACGGCCAGCATGGTGTGGGTAGCGCAGAGGGTAAAAGGCAAGCCACGTCACATCACTTCCTGCACAGCCCAAACCAAATAGCAGTTTCCAGTATTTTGTACCTCGGATTGGTGCCTTTCTACAGCGCAGGAGCCAGCAGCCGTCGACCATCGCAAGACAGTCGTGGTTCATCACGCGACAGTCGTCGACACTCGCGTGACAGTCGTCAACCATCACGCGAACAAGGCCGGTTGTTTCATTTGGGAGTGGGTGAGGAGCTCATTGAATCATATTGAATCGATATGCTTTTGAAACTTGGTATTTTGTCATAGGAGGAACGGTTGACAGTTTGTAAGTAGTGAGTGTTTGAGAAGCGCAAGTAGGGCCAAAGGCTGTCAACTCACAATCGGCTCCTGCATGTCAAGAATTCACGTGGCAATCCTTTGCCGTTAGGAACCATGTTAAACAATCATCCATCAGACGTTGGAGGACAACTGTGCAATAAAGCTGCAGTGGCATTGGCTGAGGTTGAGCATATTCATTGTTTTCATTCGCCATGCTGCCTGCTGACCTCGTACCTCCTAGTGACTAAGAATAATGATCAGACTGCATGCGACCAGTCTGCGAGGAACTGACTCAGCACGTTCAGCAGCCACAGATGTCCGAAGAGTGTGCAGAACGTTGCACACAGCGGTCGGTTTGCCCCTCGCGTGGGAAGCTAGCAACACGGAAATGCCTCTGCAGAACTTAGGGCAATGCCGTGGGGAACGGTCGCCATGTCCAGCGCCTTGCATCGCCTTTGCCGAGTCCGAGGCGGCAACAGAAGCCCGTCGCGCGCGAAGGCTTCCAAGTCCGGCTCGCGCGGAGCGCGGAGCAGAAGCCCTCGCAAGCTGCTGGGCGGGCACAGATGGCATGGAGAGACCCTATGCGTCACCTTCAAGTGACCTCAGTACTAAATTTAAAGAAGGTGACAATGTGAGTTTTGCAGAAGCTGAAGAAGCAGTACCTGGGTAAGCACTTTTTCGTGGCGCATTCGTTGATGACAAGTTGGGCTTCCCCAGGGCAGCTTGCCACTTTCTCTGCCTAGGAACGGATGGCTGGGCAAAGCTCAGATGGCCTCGGCGGCGTTGGTCTCGCCGAGGCTGGACGCCTGAAAGCTTGATTATATCGACCCACGTGTTCATGGAAGTGAGGTTTCGGGAGGGGATGCATGATGTGCTGTGGGCTTGAGAACCCCACCCCCCCCCACAAATGCGGAATATGCATTTGGTGTTCTACTGGGGTGCCAGGGTCTGGCAGATTCAAGTTCGGTCCTTGTCTAAATGATCTCCTTGGAGTATCAGCATGGCTACCACAAAGTCTTACCAAAGGCACAAAGGGACGGTGTGAGCTGCATGCAGCTAGGGGTCTCCTTAGCGCAATGAGAAGTCTGACAAGTCTAAGTGACGAGTGGTGTCAATGAAACATCAAACGAATCAAACTTTGCCTGATTATATGGGCTGACTATGCTGAGGACAGCAATGCGAATCGGATCGGCCCTACCTAGGCGAACTTCACATGGTCGGCTGCAGCAAGCTAGAAAGAGTGGACATGTGCTGTTGTTTAACACGCTACCCTGATTTAGCCGAAAAATTGAGGCCCAAGAGTCGAGTGGGTTGGACAGGAATTGCAGAGGAAGGACCCGGACCCCCACATAGACACCTTGCCATCAATGACACACTTCACGAGCATCAGATTTGCCGCCCCCTTAACCCTCCAGCTTTGTCTGGGATCACCTGTTTCGACATTCTAATCACCCACGCGTTAACCTTGCCGCCGCACCGCGGCCCAGATGCCAGGAACACCGGCAAGGCGAAAGATGGCCCGGCGGGCGGGGCAAAGGAGAAGAAGACGTCGCCGAAGCTGACATGAACGGGTTTCATGTTTTTCTTTTGTCGGTTTCTCAGGGCAGGGTCTTGAAAGGATCCCTTCAATAGGGCTGCACGGGGTAGGCTGAAAAGGGACTTGCATGTTTCAACTTTGGCAAGCCTTTGAGTGTCTACTTTCATGTGAAGTGACTTCTGCAGTAATTAGTTTGGTGGTTTGTTTGGTTAGGATTGCTGCTTGCTTAGGCAATTGCAGTTCAAATGTGCAACAGCCAAACTCATTATGCAGGTAGTGCTTTGATGGTGACATATCGTGGCCATGCTCCAGGGGCAACACCGTTCAACGGCAAGTGCCCTTCCTGAAATACAAGGGTCAGAGATGTCAGAGCTTTTGGCATGGAATGCTAGGCGTGTGTTTTAGCCTCCCAGGTGAGTGTGCCCAATCATAAAACCTGATGGGGTGCTTCGACAGCAGGCAATGGCCTGATCCTTGGATCTCACGTCAACAGGGTAGAGAGCTGTCAGCATACAAGAGCAATGGCCGACTGTACCAGTTTGCAACAGTTTCATACTTGAAGATTCATCGGTGCCCATGAAGGAAAGGGCCTCTGGCGTGTCAAGGGGCAAACTGCATGCCGGCAGGATATGTCCTTCCAATACATACAGTATTTCATTGAACAACGTTTTGCCATATATATATATATACACAAGTATGTAGTAGATTCTCCTTTTTTGCATGACCCACATATGGTTTGCTCCTCACCCCCAGCTGCGGTTCGTGAGAGTGTTTGTTCTTATTTGTTTTCGCGGCTAGCACCTTTGCAAGTGTCCAGGAGCCCCAAAAAATAGACAACAACAAAAACAAGTGTAGGGGAGTTTTTTTTTTTGTTCTTTAAATATAAGATATGCACAACCAAGTGTGGAGCCCCAAAAAGCAGACAAAGACACGACCGATTTCTTGTGTCGCCGGTTTGCGCACGTTCCAAGGAACCCGCTGGACAAGATCTTTACCGCGACCATCAAGCAGCGCCTGGAGAATGCCACGGACAAATCGGCGGCAGCGATCTTCAAAAAGCCCCTGGGTGGCCCTTGGGTTTGGTTCGGTCGGATGGCTCTGAATATAGGAAATCCCTCAAACCGGTGGTGGACATAAACCCAAACGATCTCAACCAAAAACTTACCACATGTCACAATGGATCAGGTCAGATCGGATGAGTTTGGAGAGGATGTCAGGTATGTTGCCAGGTATGTTGCCCACATGGCTTGTGTTTTTTGTTTTGTTCCTCCTGGCCCTTGTGCCACCTTGGTTTTGCCCATTGGGCCGAGGAAGTTGCTGCCTCCACTTGCAGCCCGTGGTTGGGATACGTAGACTTTGTAGACTTAGAGTCGGGGGTCGTTTCGGCGTTTGGATCGACTTCGTCCATTAAAGCGGCGTTTCAGGTCGCTCAACGAGGCGGAGAAGGCAATGCAGATCACGGACCGCATCCTGCAGACCAAGCGAGCCTCGAAACGTGTGATGTCCAGTCCCCAAACTGATTTCCCCCCTGATCAATCTGGAGCCTCTTCGGTCGGCAATAGGACTTCAAAAGGCAACAGCCGGGTTTTTGGTTTTGAGCCCAAAAGGACCCTGAAGCGGGCGGCCTCCAAGAAGGGCCGCCTTGCGAGCTTGAACACCTTGTTAAACAGAGTTTAACAAAGAAACACGCATGTTGGGGGAAGCACAATTTGGGGGGAAAGCTTGAGGGGTTCAACGGTTCAATGGTGACTTAGTATTTGTGGGTTTGCGGACTAAAAGGAACGCCCCTTTTTTGGCAGGTACCTCTAATCAGAGGGGGTTGAGGAGACACGAAAATATATTGAGTTGTTTTTTTGGGCAAACCTTCTTGGCCCATTTGCTTTAGTATTGCTGGGAATCTGGGAGGGAAAAGGGGAGACCTTTCATCGGGGATTGCTAATCGCGCGCTGACAAGGAGCAGACCTCCACACCATTGTCAAGCTGGCCCTGCTGAAGCACGGCATCAAAACAACTCACCGGGTGCAGTCTGCCAAGGAGCAGCATGCCACTTGGTCCGCAAAGGGTGTGGCTTGGTTCGGTCGGCCTGCCTGTGCGCTTCGCGGGAGGAAGAACTGAACACGCTGGTGCTCATAGAAATTGAGCCATGTCTATTCCTGACTGGCTCATGCTGACTGCACAAGCTGCAAGAAGGTTGTCACCATTCAAAGCACAAACCATTTCAGTGTGTTGCAGATGTGAAAAAACGCGAGCGTGCCTGGGCGTTGTTTGTTTGATGTGTGTTTGCTTGACGTCTTCTTTGATTGCAATTTGCGTTCCACATGGTTTTTGCTTGTGCGGGTTTGCGGGTTGATTAGGACAGTCATGTGAGATGCCTGAAGAGAGGCAGGGTAAGCTCATTTGTTTGGTTTTCAGACTGCCAGGAACGCTGGGATGGCGAAGTGGCCTACCTCGATGACAAGTGTCATGGCCTGTGGGCCATTTTGCACACATGAGACATGACTTGCTTGTGAGGTCACTTTGAAGGCAGCACTTTCCGTTTTTGTGCCTAGACCTGAGCACTAAACCTAGTTGGGCGGCACTGCCACGCTACTTTTCTGCATATGCAACGGGTGTCATTTCTTCCCAATTCCTCTGGTCGACGTGTGGCAAGCTGAGGCTAAAACGCGTGACCAGCGTGGAATCTTTCTGGCAGATGCGGCATGATGCGTGGCTCACCCAGATTGGTACCCTGCCGCCCGGCCTGCAGCTCTTCCTGGCCATTCTGCTTAGTCTGCTTCAGCATGCCGATGATTTACTCCAAGGGATCAAAAACGCTGCATCCAATTGCCGGCAAGTGTCAACATCGCCATAGGATGGTGGGTGTTTGATCACCATTGCCCTGAGTGGTTGAAACGGGGCTGCGTTTTGGCTGGCGGCATGCTAGGAATGACATGGCCCGCAGGGTAAGGGCCATACCATGTCAAAGTGCGTGCGGCCCAGCGTTCTGAGAATTAAGCGAAGTGTCTTGAGCTTCTGAGCGTTGGAACGTTGTCTATTGACTTTGGATCTTTGGATTCTTTTTGGTTTCCCTTCACGCGAAGCTGAAAAAAGGCCACCCTCTAAGAGTAGCATACCCAGAAAACAGAGCCTGGTGGGCCGTACAAGTTGCATTCCAGTGTTGGATTACCCTCCCCACCAATCAAGATGGAAGTGCGTAGGATCCCTTTCCAAGTGGGAATGGAGTTTGTTCAAATTGGTTTGGCTCGTAAGAAGGGTACAGTAGATGTGCATGAAACTTGCCGTTGTTCTCATCAGATATCTGCAGCCTCACCTAGCATTGGCCTGGGCACGTGGATCAGGTTGTGCCCATGCATAATCCTGGGTTGGGCAGACCTGGAATTTCCACGGCTAGGTCATTATGCTTCCCAGGCTGAATCAACGAGTTTGGACTTGTCTTTGCCCACTCCGCATGTTATCTTGTGACTCCTGAGGTTTAGCCCCAGTGTCTTTGAGACCTTTGTGGACAACGAGCGCTTTGAGGATCGGGACAGCTGGTCCCAACGCAGCTCTGATTCTCTGCGTGGGCGGACGGGTTGGTTGTCAAGGGGCTTGCCCGACGGGTCTTCCCATCCACAGGGGTAGTATCGCCTGATAGGCTTCCTGGTGCTTTTGTTAGGGGAAATCACTTCCTGGGAGCTCCTGACAGATATATATGACGGTTCCATTGATATGAGTCACACCCTGTTAGTCAAGATGGATGCCATCCCCTTCACCCTTGCAACCGGGGGCCTTTGGGCAAATGAACAACGCGAAGACCTTGGCCCTCGTTGCGTTGCTGGTTAACGTATCTCTGTGCATTTTCGACTGAGACTGGCAGGACCCTCCCAACTCAACCGGTGGGATACTAATTGTCAATGCTCGGCGGTTCTGCTTTGTGTCAGACATTTTGGAGGCATTCATTGGGTAACAAATTTTAATTTGTGGTAGTGAAGACCTTTCAGAACCCAAGGCACGACAGTTGTTGCTGTTTTGGCGTGGCATGAACGTGTCTGAACGCAAGAAAAAAAACTACATGTCCTCCTGAACATTGTGTCTTATTTCAAGGGCACCACTTTCGGAGTTCCTTGAAAGGAGCGCCAACAGAAAGTTCGGGGTCTTCCAATTTTGATTTTGAGAGACGCATAGTTGCCCACCTGCAGATGCCGCACTTAGGCATGCAGGACGTCCTGCGGGATGCCCTGGAGCGCATGCGCGAGGAGAACGCGCCCCCACCCGTAGACGCCACCTGGGCCGAATTACGGAGACCCTGACTCAACCTGGTCGAATCAAGGTGGGCGGGGATTCGGCAAAATTATTCGAGCTGTGGAAATGCGTGAGTGCTGTGCTATGCTGCGTCCAATGCGCTACGTCGGCACTGCGTCAAATGCAGCGAACTATTGTGCGGCATCATTTGCCTTGCTGTGTCCTGCATTTTAAGTCAGGGACGGCCAATCATGCGCCAATGGGGCACCTTGTTCATGCAAACTGCTGAGCTCTTGACAGCGTTAGTTTGACGTTAAGTGCTTGTTGAGGATTGGGAGCCGTGCTGTGCATGGGTCTTGGCTACTTATAGCAAGTTCACTTGCGGGTAAGGCAAGCCTAATTACCCATGACGAAGACGCCATACTTATGGATTCCTCAATTCATGTTTGTGAGGCGTAGCTAGCTACGTGGCTAGAGCCTCCCAGCTGGCGTTTCGTAGAGCTGCTGTGCTGTGCGCAGGCATTGGTGCCATGGGACACGGCCGAGCCTTTCTTTGTGTGCAATATGTTCTGCTGGTGGAATGCGGGCTGGGTCTGCAAATTTCCTGATTTGCAACATGAAGACGCTGTCCTAGCAGATCCCACGAGCACGCGTCGGAGGCCGCGTGCTGGAATGTTGGTGGCAAACGCCACTCGCTGACCTTTCTCCATGCTTGGTGACAGGGCTGGTGTAGCTGGGTTCACGTCGAAGTGTGGCAGTCTTCTGCACAGGCTGGGTCAACTCTGTGGAACCTCCCTATACTCTTACAGGCGCTGCTGATCAGTCATGCATGCTGCGTTCAGAGCTTGCCGTGGCTTTGGCCAGTGGCTGGATGCAGAAGCCTGTTTGTATTTGTTTGCCTGGTCGCATCTCTGTCATCAAGGTGGTCGCTCACCGCGCTACAGCTTGATGATTGGCCAGGCCTTTCTGCCCACTACAGGCGATGTCCTCGCCACATAGCACAGGAAAATGACTAAGAATGGACCCCCGAAACAAAACCGATCACGTGTCGACGTCCGCATTAGCACACCATGCGCGTCATGATGCGCACGAAAAGAAAGCGGACCTTTTTCAGGCCCATCGCAAGCATACGCACCCATTGAAGAGCATTTTGTTGTGCAACACTGCCAAGCAGCCCTACAGCCGCCCGCAGAGCATGAATTTGACCCAGAGCAGCGCTGGGCTCAAAAGCGCTCCACACCCTCCAGTGTTCTGCTGCTGCGGTATAGCCGAAAACAGCGGAAAGAGGTTTGCGAGGTCTAGAAGTTGGCGCAAATTGCTATTTGCCATGCAGTCGCTTCTCAGATGTCAGAAGCAGGATCCGAGTTTCCTCCATGCATTCCTGTCAGGGTGAGCCATCTTTCAAACCTTAAGGGCCGACACCCATCATGTCGTTGTCTTTTTCAGCGGGAAGGCGACAAATGGCGCAGCATCATTGCAGCGTAGCATGCATGGAAGGGAGAGTTCCCTTGGGAATTTGTGGCACTCCCCTGTCGAATTCTTTTTAGGACTGTACCTATTGGTTAA